CATTACAGGCATGGGGAGAACACACAGTGAGTGGATTCTGCTACTTGTTCTAAATACTCTGCACTTTTAAAGGTCCGTTTGCATGGGCTTTCTTTAGAGTAAGGAGCTTAAAAAGGAAAGCAATTAAAACAGGACCAAAAAAAACTTACAGAGGCAACAAAAGATTAAAAACTTGGTACATCTCTGGGAAGGTGAAAGCAAAACTGGCTTCATAACAAGGCTAGTTCACTTTTGCTGGCATGTCAGCCTTGTGCAATTTCTACAGACGAGGTTTTGAATAGCATTCTCACTGCTGGAGTGGGAGCACCACAGAGAGCTCATCATTGCTCCTGCTGAAGTTCTTGTCAGTACCCTAAATGCATGCATGCAATATCCTCTGCCACATATGGATGAAAGTGGGGAAGTCGTGGAGTGCTGATAACTCAATTAATTAGCCTGTGCTGGGCGTTCACAAATTAAAGGTAAGCTTTGCAGTCTGCTAGTCTGTCAGCACACAGGTTTCATATTGCTCACATCAGCAGCTGAAAACTCTGTGAATAATGAAAAGGTAACAGAAGAACTTTGAAAGTATTAGTACATCTGTTTTTAATTACTGCTAGAGGGACTATGAAAAAAACCAAACATCTAAGATGATTAAGGGTGTGGGACAATTTTTCTGTGAGGAAAGTCTGAGGGAACTGGGATTGTTTAAGCCTTGACAAAGCTTGACAAGGCCTTCAGTGTGTGAAGGGAGGGTGAAAAGAGGAGCTAGGCTCTTTTCACTGCAGTCCAGTGACAGGGCCAGAGGCAATGGGCACAAACTGAAACATGGAAAGTTCCCTCTGAACATCAGGAAACATTTCTTCATTGTGAGGGTGACCAAGTACTGGCACAGGTTACACAGGGAGGTTGTGCAGTGTTCATCCTTGGAGGTATTCAAAATTCATCTGGACTCAGTCCTAGACAATCTGCTCTAGGTACTCACTTTGGGCAGGGGGCTGGAGAAGATGGCCTCCAGAGGCCACAGAATCATAGAAAGGTTTGGGTTGGAAGGGCATTAAAGATCATTTAACTCCAACCCCTCTACTGTGGTCAAGGATGCTACCCACTAGATCAGGTTGATCAGAGTCCCATTCAACCTGGCCTTGAACGCTTCCAGGGATGGGAAACCCAGAACTTCTCTGGGTAGCCTGTTGCACCCTCACAGTGAAGAATTTCTTCCTAGCATGTAATCTGAATCTCTCCTCTTTTAATTTAAAACTGTTTCCCCTTGTCCTATTTACATCTGTCCATGTAAGAACCTCCCTCTTTTTATATAAGCTCTCTTTAAGTGCTGGAAGGCTGCAATGAGGTCTCCCTGGAGTCTTCTCTTCTTCAGCATGAACAGCCCCAACATTCTTAGCCTGTCCACATAGCAGAGATGTTCCAGACCTCTGACCATCTTCATGGCCCTCCACTGGACTTGCTCCAACAGGTCCCTGTCTTATCTGTGTTGGAGACCCCAGAGGAGGATGCAGCACTCTAGGTGGGGTCTCACCAGAGTGGAGCAGAGCAGCAGAATTCTCTCCCTCACTCTGCTTGCCACAGTGTTTTTGATGCTGCCCAGGATGCTCTTGGCCCTCTGCACTGCAATTGCACATTGTCAGCTCCTCTCCAGCTTTTTGTCCATGAGAACCCCTAAGTCCTTCTCTGCAGGGCTTATCTCAATGAGTTCTTCTACTCTGTACTCATGTTTGGGACTACCCCAATGCAGATGCAGCACCTAGACATTGAGCCTTTGACCACAACTCCCAGGCTGTATCCATCCCACCAATTCCTCCCCACCTCAGACATTCTGTGATTCCATGAGCCATAAATTATTAGAGGTGAGATAACTGACACTCCCACCATCATGCAAATTTCTCCCTAAACGAGCAAGTGAAACTCAAAACCCAAGTGTGTAGGTATCTCCCTCATTAATTAGTCTTCTTGCTTCCAGGAACTCTTGACCATTATTACTTAAGTCTCATCTTAATTAAAACTGTGATCTTAATTAAGCAGGCTGTGACCTGCTGTCCTTCAGCTTCCTGAAGACTTGGTGTAAAATTCATACCTTCCAAGGGAGTGACCATGGACTCCTATCCAAGTCAGAGGGGAGAAGCATAAATTTCATAATCTAAAACAGTATGGACTTCCTGTTCCCTAGAATAACTTACCTGTTCCTCTGAACTCTGAACTCAAACAGTAATCTTAAAATGTAGAAGAAAGAAAGGTGTTTTGAGTTAAGAGATGTAAATCCAGCAGAGATCTATTCTGTCAACATTCCACCTGCTTTTAAGGGAACTGCTCTGTCAAGGAAGAGGAAAAAGATTAAGGGAGAGAAACCAATACCAGCTGCATCCTCTTTATGAGAGCTGTTGGTTCAGAAATAAAATGTTAGGCCATGCTTATTGGACATCCCATAGACCTCTTCCAACTTACCTGCTTACATAGACATCCTTGTAAAACCTACAGTCAGTGGTACTTAGGACAGTCAAAATATTTAAATAAAAACATCGGCAAAACAACCAATAGATTTCTGAGTTTCCACATTTCCAGGCTGAGTCCTGCTAAATGGAAAATTCAACCTAGACAGGTCAGAACCAAATAACCATCATTTAAGCTGGACTTTTCTCACTCCCATTAGAGCAGAGCCTTTGTCTCTCTGCTTCTGGTTATAGCAGTGGCCACATAAATTAATGATTCATCATCTTCCAACCTGCACTTTTCTCATGCAGAAGACATAGGATGACTTTCACAAACATCCCTAACACCTACAAGACCTCAAAATGCACAGGTGACTAGAACATGAATTACATCATGCTGACCTCAAAGAGGCTGAAGGATCACAGGTTCTGGAAAGGTCTTGTTTAAAGAAACAAGGTTTGAAACTCCCTCAAATTTTGGACAGCAAGAGACTGAAGAATTAATTATCTGGATCAAACTTCCCACATAAAGCATTTTATTATTTTAAAATGGAGAATGTGGTGGGGGAAAAAGAAGCATGTAGCAATGTGACAGGAGATCAGAAATATTTCGGATTGTTCTGTCAAAGTCTCTCCTGATCTAGAGATAGTAGTTTCACCCAACGCTTCTCAGGACCCTGGAGATCAGGGTGAGTTCCTTATGTTTTTCCAAGTATGACATTTTAGGAACATGAAGTCTGATGTGGACTGACACATCATTAGTAGAAAAAGCAGCACCATTCAGTCTTATTGCTACACTGACCCTCTGGTCTGTGCATATACTCTCCAATCAAGACAAAATAGGCCAAGAAAGCATGTAAGACAGAGATAACCTCAATGGTAGCTGTCCCCATGATCGTGTTCATGGGATCCTTTTGGAGACGGTGCCAGGTGCAGCCTGTGTTGGACACCCTGCCCTCGGCCTCACATTAACCTGCACACAGGAGCTGGCAGCTCCCTCTCCATAATGAGGGAAAGCAGGAGGTTACGGCAGGGCTGCAAGCCAGGACATCGGGCTCATCGAGGACATCCTCTCCTGGCCAGCGAGAAGGGCCAGCGCTTACACAGGCAAAACCTGGCGGAGTGTGGGACACAGGAGGAACCCCAGTGTCCCCGGGAGGCCTCCGCCTCCTCACAGCGCCCTCCCTTCCATCCTGCCCAAGGAATCCGAGGACAGCACTTGAGGAGGACGCAATGTAATCCAAGGAGCAGCACGCGTTACGACTGACTGAACTGCGCCAGGAATGTGCTGCTGTTCAGTCTCTTCCGGCATCTCTGGGAAAAACGCTTCCCGCAGCAGCACACGGCCCCTCCCAACAACCCACTGCACTCCGCGCCTTCCACGGGCTGCGGGCTCTGTGTCTGCTGGGCGGGGCCAGGCCGAGCAGGAGGCGGAGAAGGAGGTG